TTTCATAAGAGAGATGCTCCAGATCCCTAATCATCTTTGTTGCCCTCTGCTGGACCCTCACTGTGTTTTTCTACTCGCAGCCTATCTGGACAGAGCTGTGCTAAATATGCAGATCCAGCAGCTTGTGGGCCCACCAGCCCTGCTGCCTACAGGGATGGGAACCAGCCTGCAAACCCTTCCCCAAGGGAGATTCCTGTGCACCAGGACACTCACAGCTCCTCTGGAAGCAGCTGGCTGTCACAGCTGGCCAGCAGGCAGGGTACCATGGGCTGAGCCCAGGGTGGACACCTGGGCAGGGCAAGCTGTGCTGTGCCAGACAGGGCTAATCCAGGTGTGCCCTGTGCAAACACAGCACTGCTGCCCCCATCTGCATGGCCCCAGCTGGTACCCACCATCAGGAATTGAAAATTAAGCACAACTGCATGGCTGGAACAAGCCATGCCTGCCTATGTCGTTCACCAACTGCTATTTTCAAGCCTTGGAAATTAAGCATGGACCTCACCCAAAATCAAATCCCACGGCATCTGTTGATCTGCAGGAGCTGGAGTTTGGTACCAAAGAGCTGCAGAGTGGTATCATTCTTGAATGCCATTCAGAGTAAGATCTATTTATCTATTTTGATTTCAAGTGTGTCTTTCACTCAATAACACAGTCACTGCAGAAACTCTCTGAAGCTTGTATTTGACTTCTTCAATCTCCTGGCCACGCCTGTGCTTTCCTACAGGGCTGCTTTGAAGCAAATCTCAGAACATGCTTCCAGATGCAGAATTACCCCAAGTCAGATCCCAGAAAGCATCCTGCAGACCTTGGAGCACTAACAAAGCGTGGGTGGAGCCCCATTTCCTCCTGGGATCTGAGCAGGCAGCAGCAAAGTCTGGCTGACCTCTATGCTCAGCTCTCTCCTGCTTTTCAGCTTCCTCGGGCGTTGGTGCAACAGTACAGACCTGTCCTCACCTGAACAACCTGGGCTGAGATTCAGCTGCTTTACCTTTGTGTGTACTGTGGAGGCATTGATATCTGATCTAGACATTCAGAAAGAGCTGTTTTTAGGGCACAGTTCATCTGATCTGTTCTAGACATTTTGTTTTTAACGTGTCACCCCCAAAGTGCTCTTTTTCCCCAGGACAACGTGGGGAGCTTGCAGTGACGAGTTCATACAAACCATGTGTGGATGGAACCCTGTGGGGGGCCATGCCCGTGTTCAACCTTTCAGCTGGAGCCTTGTGAAGGGCCTGTTGTGGTTGGGGGTGTCAGTCAACTAATCATCCAGGGCATGTGCAATATGTAGTTGTGGCTGCTTGCTGTTAAAAGGCTAGTTCCATTATGGCATTGCAATCCAGGTCTCATAAAATGACCTAACATCCAGATCTTTGCTCAGAAGGAGGAGGATTGTTACCCTTGTCTGACACTCCTTCTCTGAGGGGGTGCAAGCACCATCTCCTGCTCCTGGTGAGCAGTCACGAAGTGGAAGCCTGCTGGGGCAACATTCTCCATCTCTACAGCTGAGGTTGTTCTCAGGTGTAGATCTCTTTGAGACCATGAGCAAATACACTTTTACATTCCTTGATAAAAAATGAAGTTACACTGCCAGAAGCTGAGACTTCTGATGTTTATTGCAAGTGCTATTTATAACACCAGCATGAAAGCAGAACATTAATGCATTAGAAGTACACTCAGTTTGGAGAACAGCACAAAAACCTCAGTAACATGGTCACACATAAGCTGCTGGGGGAATTAGATCCAGTCAGAAAAAGTGACCTGTGCTCTTTCCTAATCACTCTTGATACTTTCAGAGCAGTGTTAATCCACAGGTCTCAAAGCACTTCAGAGATGTGTAATAGGTGGAGACACAGCAATCAGAAACTGTGGCAGAACTCACACTGATTTTTGTAGACTTCAGATAAAATTAACACATAACATGTAATAGGCAGCTGTAGGTCAGGAACTGTTGCCCTCAGCCACTCTGCTTGAACCACCAGGTGCCTTTCTTCTTCTTCTAGTCTAAGCTTATCAGTGTCATCACTCTAAAATAATAATGACACCAAAGTTCACACCTTCTATCTCTGTGCACAGAGACTAACAGAGCTGTTGAAGACTAGGGAGGCTGTTGCCATCATCTAGGCTGACCCTCTACAGCACACAGCAGGCATTCTTGACTTCTGAAGGCTTCAAATGATGGAAAGGCCTCCTGGTTTTAGCTAATTGTTCCAATTGTCAAGTGCTTTTATTGTGTAGAGCTGCACTTAATCTTTGCTCTCAGTCCATCTAGTGGCAGTTCAGGACACTGAATCTGTGCTCTCAAAGCCACTTATGAATGAAAAAAAGCACAAAAGCTGGTTTCACAATGAGAAGAGGTTTCTAATGTTTAAAGCTGCACAGCACAGCATATTATAGTTTCTATTTTATGAAAAATATATGTTCCTTTTGCATATATTCAAAGCATCTTTTCGCATATTGTTTGATACATTAAGTAGCAGTTGTACATCTGTTCCTCCCTTCACGGGGAGGAACATCAATAATAGTAGGGGCAGCTAAGAGGAAAATGGTGCTACTTTTGCATAAAGCTATTGCTCCCATAAAGCCTTTTTATTCCTTGATTTTGTCTATCCCAAGCAAGGAAAGTAGTCCTGTCCAAAGCAAGGTCTTGCAGTGAAGATCAGCAAGAAGAATTAGTTGGAGCTGGAGATCAGCATAGCACATATTGAAGCAACAGTGTAAGGACTGGTGAAGCTGCAGTTCATGGGCAGCACACTTGTTTCCCCATGCAATACAGACTCACAGGATGCTTTATCTTACCTAAACCTGCCCCCATTCCCCGTCCCAGACTCTGAGTATGCCAGCTAAACACACCTCAACCAGGTGCAAGCATTCTGGGCAGTGTTAGCTCTTGGATCTGGTGTCTCTTAGGTCCATGGTACCACTCTGTAGAAACTCTCAGTTGTTCTGAGGTTAGAGTATGTGAGCATCACTATGAGCATAGTTTCTTTTCACCCAGCTGTTGGCCTGCTGTCAGAGACTATGGCACCAGCAGTGTTGGCTGTGACAACGTGTTTGCATACACGGGTGTTCAGAGCATCCTGTGATACCATGTTAGGCTGCTGTTGGGGTTTTATTCCTGAGAAGGCAGGAACTAAGTCTGTGCAGTTCTGAGGCAGGAACAATTGTAAAGAAAGAGGAGTATTCATATGTCCCTTTTCAGGTTTCCTGGCTGAAACTACAGTCTGTCTCTGCCTTCTTTTGAAAAAAAAAAAAGGTATTTGCCTCTTAATCACTAAAGTAGAATGAGAGCAACTGAGGAAGCAGAGCAGCTGCCCTAGAGAAGGAAATTAAATACAAATACTTGTGTGTCTTCCTATCATGAGAACAATGCAGGTAAGCTCCTCAGGTAGCAAAATTTCCCTTTGGAGGTGCCCTGTGTGCCTATGGATAGCTTGGTGTCAGAGTGCTAGGAAGATCAGAGTTACAGCAGTACTACCAGTTACTGCAGAGTTTCTCTATGTCACTGAAAAATCACCTGCATAGGAATCAAATGTCTTGTATTAATAGCAAATAAATGAAAACAATAGTGGGTTGGAGCACTGAATGTGTGTCTGGCCCTGTTGATGTTGGAGGGTCAAACAGCACTATGACAACTACCACGGACACAATAAACTGATAACATGCTCACAGAGTATAAATCACTCTTTCATAGCTCTATCATTGTGATGTTCATTACAGGCTGGGTTTCTGATTGTGCAATGAACCAGCATTTGACTAAGGTGATCGGTGTTTGTAACAGAAGTTGTCACTGAGCCAAACCACTCCTTTGGAGCACAACTAAGAGTCACAGCACCATGACAGGTGGTTTTGTGAAGTGTAGGATCCTTGGTGAAATTATCGTGGACCTCTCCATCCAGGTCCTTTGTTGTATGACAAAAAACAATGTATCTGACAAACAGAATAAAATCTTCATTGACTGTCCATGCTCAAATTAAACAGACAGTTTCTTTTGCCACCTGATATCAACCCCTTGTTGCCAAAAAGCCTTTTTGTAATCAGCAATGAAAAGAAGCCAAGACATGGAGCATTGAGTCATCTTTTATTACTTTTTTCTTCAGATTAAAATAATTTTCTGAAATCTTGTAGGGTTTGCTTGTTTTATATCAAGTTCTTCGACAGTGCTTATATTATACATGCCTACACCCGGAAAAGATTATTTCACCCCATGTGTTTACCGTCATTATTCTTTTGAGTGTGTTCCACTTGATTCTGTAAAGCATTAAATATGCCAGAGGAAATACCAAAGGTGAAGATATTCAATGCTGCTAACGTTGCTAGTGTTACGAAAGATAAATAAGCTGAAAGCGTTGACATGACAGTCTCAGATACCATAACAAGCTGTGGGTTTTCTCCACTCCATAATTGCTTTCAAGCCACAGTCTTTTCTATAGCAAGATGGGAGGGCCAGGAAGGGCTGAAATAAAATACTGAATGAAAAGCAAGTATTTTTAGCTTTTACGAACACACATTTCTACACGCATTTTCACCCTGATGTGCTCTTTCACCCATTCTGCTGCTCAGCAGGAACAGGAAGACCCCATTCACTGGTGAGAAAGCACATCCCTGTGTATGCTGCCATTCCCAAAGGCAGTCAGAGGATGCGGCCATGCTGGTTGGGGTTGCAGAGCTCTTCCAGGAGAACACTGCCTGTGTCTGTATGGAGCAGTGGACAGTGAATGCTTGTCTGTGACTCTGCTTTTGTTTGCTCTTCTCCCCCTCTCACGTCCTCCCCTTCTCTCCCACTCTTACACGCACCTGTCCAAGGTACCTCCAGCTTCATCCTGTCTTTGGGTCCAGTACACACAGCAATGCCCACCTTATGTTTTGCAGCTGAGATATGCATAGAGAAAAATCACATCTGATTCTTTGGTTATTCTGATCAGAGGTTGTTTAGAAAGCACCTTGGAATCTCATGAACTCTTGGCTTAGTGGAAATATAGGTCTCATTTGGGGATAGCAGGTCAGTTCCTGCCTTGAGGGGCCACTGAGGATAAGCCCCTGCCCTCAGACTCCTCTTTCTGCTTTTGTAATCTCAGCCCATCCTGGTCCGCTGAGGGTTTGGTAGCTGGTTTTGTTGCTGCAGTCAGCTCTTTCCTCTTCTCTGAAGGTTCTTTTTTGCTTGCTGCCTCTGCTCTGTCTGTCCCTTGGCCACTATTGTCTGTGGCACTGGGTGTTACCTGACCAGCCAGCGTTGGCCGAAGGGGCTCATTGCTCTTCTTCCACCTCCGGGCCCCCGACCGTGTATTGAATTCATACATTCTGCCAGTAACTTGTAAGAACAAAAAGACACCTGATTAAAATCATTCCTGCTTTAGCAGATTAAGACGTGACAGTTCTCAGCATGGGGTTGAAATGAGAAACATGAAGCACTTGGAAAATCAGCTGAGTGGGGGAGGTGGCCCTGAGAGGGAAAGTCTCGTTTCTGCAAGAAAGTGTGGGGACCTGGGCATTGCTGTGGCCTCTCAGAGGAGTTGCTATTCTACCACTATAAGAACTGGCTCTGCAGTTTGGGGGATAGGAATATTCAAAACATTCCCATTCCAAAAAATAGCACCTTCTTCTCATCCTATACCTCTATCCAGGCTACAGCTACCATGGATTGACATGGGCAGTGTAACAAACACATCCATAGTTGTTCAGTTGTAGGGACTAACTATCCCAAAACTTCGGTCTTTCACCACACTGAGCGAGGCCATTGTGGATGTCTGTGCCTATTTTGTCAAGTGGAGTTGCCTACCAGAGGTAGCAAAACCTGCTTAGGAGCCCGGTGTGTTACAGACATCTTCTAGACAATGTAAGCTCATCTAGGGTTGATGCAGAATTTGAAGACATGGGCTCTCCAATGAGTTTTGGCTGCATGTGTTTCTTTTCCATTTGCACAGAATGCTTTCCTTGAGGCTTGCTGTGCACCTTGTCATTAACAGAGTGAAGTACTGTGTGTTTTCAGTTTGTACAAGTACACGCTTCCCTCATATATGTAAAATATTGTTAAATTTTGGTTGTTCACATGTGGCTGCTTTTCCTTATTAGAGAGGCTTCTGTCTCTATTTAGATTTTATGGGTAACCTCTACTTGTACTTTAAAAGTAAATATCTTCTTTCAGCTTGTTTGCTACCTAGAGAAAGGTCGAAAAATTGCCTTGTCTCCAGTGTGACCACCTCACAGTCTAAATCTTTAATTCTTGCTAAACAGAGAATCAGGAGTTATAGTGGCACTTCTTGTAATTAAACTTCAGTAATACAAGACAAACAATAGGCCATTAAGGCCTGGAAAGAAACAGTGGTTATGCATTACTGCATGTTACAGTGTGTATCAGAATTAATGGTTTCTGACACATTAACGCAATTTGAGCAATTAAAGATGAAACTGGATCTCTTTACATGTTATTTTTTCTGCCTGCTTAGAAGGTGGGCACACTAAAGCAGCCCAGATCAGGAAGCAGCTTCTGACCATCCCTCTCAATCATATTCAACAGATGCATGTCCTGGGAATTATTAAATCTCATTTTCAAACTGGCAACACTTGCTCCTCTAGGTTTTGGATGAGCTGTGGAGAAGAGAGGGGAGGAGTGAGGAGCACACGTTTCCCTGCTGACACCACAAAGCTGTGTTACAGCTTAATGTTTGTGTCAGGCATGACATAAATGCTATGGCTCTGGAGTGCAGTTTGGATGGGCTCAGATATCCTTAAGTTTGGTGTGGTCAGGTTTGCTGAGAAAGGGAGCCACCAACTGTCATGCAAGAAGACTGGAAACCAGGTCTTGTGGCAGCCTAGACTATCCATGTATTACAAATGAAGTTACACAGGGAAAAAGCAGGGACTTTGGAACCCATCCCTCCAGATCTCTTTATAAATAGCAGGTGGGCTTGGACCTGGATCAAACTGGCCTTGAGCAGCCTTGTGGATGGGTTTAATTGCACAGTAGGGCCCCCTTTGTTTTCCTCAAATTCTACTGAAGTCTCCATGCCCAGTGTTTCCCATTAGCTCAAGGCATCCAACAGCTTCGAGCCAGCTAATAAGAAACACAAGGTACAGGCACTTGAGTGGAAATTGGCCAGATGAATTCAAGCATCAAAACAAACCTGCCTTCTTCTGGATAATTTCTAGACCTATTGTTTCAGACCTGTTTTCAGATCTATTTGTTAAAGACCTATTTGGACCAAGTGTCACATTTTACCACTCCTCCATCTCTGTGCTGGGGCCCTCATTCATTAGGCACAGGGCTGGGCATCCTAATTCCAGGCCAAGCACCACAGTGAGGGGCTCAGGCAGGGGCTGTGTTTCAGGGGAATGAGGTAAATCAGAACAACCCTTAGAAAAACATACACTTTTTCTGCAATGAACCCTGCTGCAGAGCACAGTGGTTGTCACTTGGGGAAGGTGATAAGCACACACCTCCCTGATTGTCCTGGGTTTTGTAGCTTTTGCCTTATTTTCCCTTTTCCTAGCTCATTAATCAGATATGCTCAGAGTTAGCATAACTGGAGCCTGGTGACACACTTGATATCTGATGCCACCACAACTATATCTAAAAGCAAGAGGTCTTCCCTTTCCTCCCTAACAAGAGATGCTTGGATAAACAGCAGCAATGCAGTGTTGCTGCAAGGGAGTGTTGCTGCAAGGGAGGAGATCTGTGCAGGAACGAGTAACCCACAGTGCATCCAGGGAGAGGTTTAAGAGACAAAGTCTGTACTTCTGCAGTTACATTAATCTCCTGGTCATTTCCCAGAATGGGATGGGGGAAACCACGTAGCCAGAGCAAGAGGCTTGCAGAAAATCCCTCCTCTCCTCCCACCCTCTTATACCACATCCATACATTCAAGTTTAGCAGAGGAGTAGTGTGAATAATCTGGCCATTGGATATGTGCTTTCAAGGGCCATAAGTGTATTCTACCACTAGAAATGGTACTAAGGCACTGTCTTGATTTGCACTGTCTGTGAGATATAACTCCCATTCTCCTTGGAAACAGCAAACCTGAAACATGAAAAGTCAATGTCGAACCATATTTAAATCAACGAATCCAGCTTGTTTCCAGCCAAATGTTCATATCCCCTGTTAATTGCTTTTTATTACCTGGGTCTCTGGCTTCTCCATCAAAAACAGTGTTTAGCTTTGTCATCGTCTGTGAAGAGACACCAAACGTGAAATCAGTCCTGTGAATTAGTTAAGTATGAAGAATAAGCAGTGACTTGGAAAACGTGATCTACATGGATGGAGGTGGATTTGTGTGACCTGTATGTTGCATTCCTTTAGGCTGGGTTTAATCTGAACTGGCAACAAGAGCCATTTGTGGTGTAGGGTTTTGCCATGAGATGTTCAAAGGAGAATTGATAAGGTCTGACACTCTAAATACCTCCACCTGGGTAACCACAAGACGGTCTCCTCCAAACAAAGGAGGTTTGGGAATCACCTCTCTGAAGAACTTGTGGAGAGGGAGTTCACTGATGAAAGTGCCTTGCATAGATTCAGAGTATCCTGAGTTGGAAGGGACTCACAAGGCTCATTGAAGTGCAGCTTCTAGCCCTGCACAGGACCACTCCAGGAATGACACCATGTGCCTGAGAGCATTACAGCCTTTATGATATTTTGTCTATGAAAAAGAAAGAGCCCCAAGATCTAGGAGCAAAGAAACATCTACAACAGTAGAAACAACTATGGCATTTTCCTGCAAACAGCTTATCAAGACCAGACTCTTTATAGCTTGTGTACCTCACTGCTTGCACTCAGGTGGGTCAGAGTCAGCTGCACAGGTCAGAGGTGTCTCAGCAGCACACCACAGCCATCAGTGAAGCTGTGGCACTTTTCATCCCTCCTCTGTGGGTGCAGTGAGTCTCCCTTTCACTGCTGTGGGTACAGCCTCTCTGGGCTCCCCAGTAGGCATTTCAGCACTTGGAAGAAAAGGGGTCCCATGCACGTGAGCATCCCTCACACTGAGTGTTGCCTTAAAACACAGAGGCCACTTGGGGCACTGAAATATTTTGCACTTGAGGGCAATCCTTTTTTCCTTGCCTATCATTTTTATATTCTCTTTGAAAACACACACCTTTCATAGAAAGGGTCTCATGATCATATTGCATGATGGGGCTGGTAAAACAGGTTTTGAGGCTAGCACTTACCACAACCACATCTTTCTTACGTTTCTTCTTTTCTACAGAAAGGAAAACACACATTGTAAAGAACCAGACTTTTCTGAGCAGGATTATAGAAGACTAAACACAAGATTTCCTCAAACAAATAGATATTCTTGCTACTCAACTTCTGAGACATCTCAAATTAGCCCTGAAAAACAAATTCCTTCATAGTATCTTAGAGTGGGAATACACGGTTGCCAATGACTAATTAAAAGTCTAACCTTGAAAAGTCTTATTCCTTCAATAATGAATTAATAACAATGGCTTTTTAGACAAATTTCCCTTTCTAAATAACACAAAGATATAAAGAAATTCACCTTTGGGGATATCTGAACTAGAAACGTAGACTATTGTAGTTCCACGAGCTACTATTGTAGTTCCAAAGATTGTGCACTCAACTTGGAGACAAAACAGGAAAGTGCTGCAGTTCCAGTCAAGTAAAATTCAGATTGCAGGACAGTTTGGGTTTGTGTGAATTTACCACACTATTAACTCATACCACATGCAAACAAATAGAGCAGCAGTGCCGTGGGCATCTCGACAGCACGGATTCGTGGATGATACCCAACAAGTTGCTATGATTTCTTCTTGCTCTCTCCTTGCCAATTTGTTTAATGGGCTTTCTTTGGAGAACTGTGTGCCTGGCCACCAGCGGGCTTTGCAGTACTCTGAACTGCTGCAGATGGGTCTCAACCTGAGCAGTGATGGGAAACCTGTTCTGTCTGGCCTTTGCTGCCCAGCATTTGAGAACCAGTCTTTCAGAAGGCACCAAGCATTCATTTTTTTAGAAACCAGCCAATGCTGAAATGTCTCAAATTGGGCAAACAAGAGAACAGCTAATTTTGTGGGGTTTGTTAGTTCTGTGTTTTTTCAAGCTGGGAGGTAGCAGCTGAGGAGAAAGAGTTACAAAAGCAGTGTCCTACTGAGCCCATATGAGCAAAGCTTGCTAGCAGAAGGCTAATGGGATAAAAGGAACTCTTTAAAAAAGCATGTTTTTTCAGGTGTAACTTATGCCCCTGCTAAGTTATACAAACCCCTTTAAAAGCAACAATACTTCAAAATAAATCTTCAGGTACATGAAGTGATGGTGTCAAGGGAGCAAATGAAGTGATCAGAGAACAGTGACTTCGAGTGGAGAGGACTCTTGAAGGTGCTATAGGTGGATGGGATTATTTTTTAACAAATAGCATACGAATTGCACATGAAAAATACAGCCATTCTTTAGCACCTATACCAAAATACCAGGATTTGTGATGTATACTGTGAATTTGTTTTTTAACTCATAGTTGATAGATTTGAACTCCATGGGAGAGTTCAAAGGACCATGAAATCACTTAATCAGGCCTCCAGTAATCGGCCAGGCTTATCTAATCTCAGTACCCGTGTACTAGGTCAAATTCATTTGTCTAGAAATAAGTTTACAAACCTTACACTGAATGATAAACAAGGTCTTGTTGTGAGGCATTAAATATAAAAAAAAAGAGGTACAAACCTGGAGCATTTATCCTGTAAAAAAAAAAAAAAAAAAAAAAAAGATTAAGAGTGTAGTTAACAAATGTAATACTTTTGCCTACATAAAAATGTCATGCTTTGTTCTTTTGCATTTGGCAAGAAGGATGTTTCCTTGAGTTCTGAGATTTGCCTGATTTGTTTGGTTTCTGGTTTTGCTGAAGGCCTGCATCATTTATTACTGCTCTCAAACAGGAAAGCAGACCTGAACATTGCTTTAACACCTCTTCAAGAAGGGATGATATTAAAATAATAAAGTCTTACTGATGATAGCATGATGGATTTATATAATCTAGAAAAATATATTTTCAGATACTGTCATCTTATTCCATCCTTGGAGAAAGGTCAACTTTTTGAGTCTGATCTGCTCTGACAATACCTTTTAAAATATTTGAAAGGTTGTAAATGTTTTTGAAAATATAGAAACTGCTTTTTAATGGGAGAACCTGGCTCCCAATGAATCATTTTGCCTATTAATAAATAATAACAATATCTTAGATTCATTTTTCATTTTTATCACAAGTTACAAATGCCTTGCACACACCATTTGAATTAAAATCACAATCATATATTACCTCTTTACATTTCCTGTAACTTCTAAATTTATGGCCAAATCCAGAGAATACTTACAGAAATCCTTTTTCTTTTTTTTTAATCCCAGCCCACTTAAAGGACTACTTATCTTTGTTTTGTGATGTAAAAAGTCGATTTAGAGGCAGCCTGGCTCCAGCCCACTGAGAAGCCAGCCAGCAGGGATCTCTGCGCTTCCCGCAGTGATCCAGAGCCCAGTCCCAGGTGCTTCCGTGGCTTTTGGCAAGCACAAGCATTTAGAGGTATCATTAAGCTTTATGGGCCAGAGCCTTGCAACTGGCTTGGGTAAAACTCCAGGAAACCTGCAGAAGCTTTGCCAGGACAATGAATTTGGCATGAGCAGATCTGCAAAGGACTCTAGGAGGGAGGAAACTGCATCCAGTAACCACCTAGATGGGAGCTCCCTTGGAATGGGAGTCAAATGCAAACCAAAAGCATTTATATTTGCTGTGGGTAGCACAGTCTGGCACAGGCTCTCATGAGTATAGCTGCCTTTAGAGGTCATAATTGCTAATTCCACTCCTACCTTCAGCAAATGCTGATGTTACTAAACCCATGAAAAAAACGTTACCACGGACATTTTTTCTTGATTTCACATCATCAACACTAAATATCACTGTAGGTGGTGACAGCATTTACCACAGGGAAGGGCACAACACTATAAAAGATTTAAAGTGTAGGTTTCATTACGGTCAAAAGGCCTGGGCTATCTCTGTCATTGCCAGGCACTGCTGGGGACTTCCCCGGCTTGGCATTTGTGAGGACTCACAGAGGTGTGCGGTGTGCTCTCGCTGCTGGAGGGCAGCAGGTGCGGGCCCAGGTCACCAGCAGGAATCCCAGGAACCCCAGCATTCCGAGGAGCAGCAAACTGCCAAGGGTGACGACGAACGGCACGTACCACGCCGATGCAGAGTAAAGGTTCTCCCTTCTTGTCACGACAGTGAAGCCGGGCTTTTAAAAGAAGACAAGAAAAGTTCCTCAAGGCTGAACACTTGTAAGGGTACTGACACCAACATCTGGTTGAACTCCTGCACTGAAGCACCTGGGAAACTGTCTGCTGGAGCCAGTGATTCATCCCACCTACCTGCCTGCTGACTGCCAAGGCAGCTCAGGTGGCTGAGGTGGACCACTGAGCTCCTGAGGTAAAGAAAGGCAGGTGAAATGGAGTCTACCCACAATGCAAAAGGGAGGTTCCATATCATGTTTCCATACCTTATATTAAAACAAGCATGTTGGGGTGGGGCTTAAAAGCCACAGGCTGCCTGAGAGACTGTGAGTGAACTTTTGGAGGGTGAGCAAGATCAGGGAATACTGCCATTACTGAGATAATGGTTTCCTGTTACCTAAGGCAAAACTGGAAGTAGGTCATCTTCATTGCAGTCATCGTTCAGCCTCCCTTTATAAGAGGAGTTGTACCCTAAGGAACTGGGTTATTGTATGAAAAGAAATGAAACTCCTTTTTACCCTGTGACTTGTTCCAGAAGGGAAAACCACACTTCCTGAGCAGTTGCAATCTCCCACATCTTCCTGAGTGTCAGGAGACACATCTCTGAGCTGGCACGTCACTTGGTGCTAGCAACTCATTCATTAAGGTCCCATCATGAAACTATCCTCACGCATTTCATAAATGACTCATTTGCTCTACCTGGTTCATTACCCATTGTGGTACTATTAGATTTTTTAATCTACTGAAGTTGTTTTTTTTTATTTTCTGTGAGACATTTGTAATCACACTGTGTATGAAATTTAGTAGGGTATCTATTTCTTTCCAGTTTAAGGATAATTTTAAAATAACCTATTTAGTCTTGTCAATAAAAGATACATCCAATCCTTAGAGAAACTCTCAAATAATCTCAAGATCACCACTACCACTCTATCCTCACTTGGACTGAAGTCACAAGTGACTTTTTGTGACAGGGCTTCTCTTCTACACTACCAGCCTTCCAGTATCTGATTCATCAAATTGCTGCACTGAACACATGAGTAGTGATGGGAGAACTTGCTGTAATGGAAGTGCTCTTCTGGAAAATAGACTGAAAGTGGAAGGCTGATATCTCTGGGGAGGCAGATTTAATGCTGTGGTATGTGGTTAAGACTGTTTGTATTTGTGGTAAAGCACGGGAAAGAAATGCAGAATAAGTTTATTCAGCTTAACTTTTCATTTCCACATCAAGTAGAGGGGAATAGAAGGCTATGAGAAAACCATTTATTCCTTCCCAACAGAGCATTGGATAATAACAGGGTTATTAATCAGTCTGCAAATTTGGATCTAAGTATTTTCATAGCAGAGCATAAAGACTTGCATGTGCTGTTTGCTGGATCCTTCGTTTCTGGCTCAGTTACCAATAGCCTCTAGCAGACCCAGACCATTTTACAGTGAAGAGCTCTTTTACACTGGATACTCATATTTTCATTCCTGCATGCAAAACAGAAAAGGGTAATGCCATCTTCAGGCAGGCAGGGAATGGATGAATTCTGGATGATGGAAGATGGTGCAGCAAGGAATATAGGAGATGACCAGCACAAGAATGGGGACTGAGTGGTCCATACCCTCAGGCTGTGCCACTTCTGCAGACAAGACAAAAGAAAGCTCTCCTCAGATCCTGCACCAACCTGATAGAAATCAGCTCCAAAATTAAACTGGTAAACCAGAGCTTGCCTGGGATGGCTGTGCAGAGGAGTGAACTGTATTGCTGGGACACAGGGACACAGGCTGTGCACGATCACATCCCATCTGGGCTGCCGAAAGCTGTACAGGATTCCCTAACTCAGCTATGGACCACCACGTGGGATGGGAGATCAGGAAATATGCTTCCCAACCCTGTGGATTGGTTGTCTGAAACCTGCTAAAATCTCAGTGACATGCTGAGGCTGTGCACAACTGCTTCAGTTCCTGACAGGCTGCTGCAAGTTTTACAGGACAGTGATGGGGAAAAGACCCTTCCAAGTAATGAGGATTTGTTGTTGTTGTTGTTGTCTTTTTCAACTCTAATAGCCACAGGTTAATGTATTCCACTGCTAAAGAAGCACACAGAAGTGCAAGGCAGCTGGGAGAGTGAATAGCTTTGAATAAAAAAAGTAGTGCAAAATGCATGAGGTAATTTTAAGGTTCCAGGCAAAGGTTAATCCCTGCTCTTTCCTTATTAATGAAGCTGCCAAAATCTTTAACTTTCCAGTTGCATGGTAATGGCAGTGTGCCCAGTCCTTTGGCCACTTGCCCTTTTTGTTTTAGAAGCTGAAATACAAAACACGTGTTACACTCTGTACCTGGGACTAATGCTTCATGGCACTAAGCACATCAAGCACCTTTGGCTCTTTCATAAGAGCATAGGGCTCAGCAGTGACCAGGACTGGACCCACTCTAGGTTTTTGCTTTCCTTTTGCATACACCTACCCTCTTTTCTTCAGTTCTGTGGAGATTAGTCCATAAAGGCCATGCAGAACTGGACATAAATTTCAGTGAACTTACCGTCGTGGTAATGGCAGTAGTTGGGTTTGGGATAACTCTGATACTTAAAGTCACCGTTCCAGTTCCAATTAAATGTGTAGTTTTGTCCCTGACAGACAGTAAATTGTCATCTGTTATGTAGACACGCAGATTGTAAATCCAGCTTGTGTCAAACCCGCTCTCATAGTCAAACCGTGATGCAAGAATCAGCCGAGATGTATTGGAGCCGGCTCTTGGTGAAAAAGTGAAATGATTGTTCTCATTGCCTGCAAAAAAAAAAGTAACACCAACATGCCAAAAAATCAATCCCACACTAAAGTGGTGAGGTGCAATGAAATGTCATTTACAAGAATGGCACCTGGATCTTTCTGATACCGTATAAAATAATTTAAAACAATAGAGTCACAAAGGCATTACGATATAGAATAAGACCCTCTATGGCAAAATAGCTAAGAGGAGGCTGTGAAAACACTTCAGAGCCACAGGGCACACGAGAGTTCACCAGAATGACCTGTCCTTACAGCCTGGGCAGCACCCAACAACACCCAGCTGGGGTGAAGACCCTACACTGTGACTCATTCTACTACTGGGTTGTCCTTGAAGTGTTACTCCAGCCCCTGTCCATGGCTTCGCTCTCTGCCAAGAGGCAGCCTTTGAAGAGGTCCCCCAGAAGAGAGCTAATGACTCAAGGACATTAATTGCCTCCAGGGCATTAATTGCCTCCAGGGCTTTGTCAGCACCATGGGGCAGGGAGAAGAACTCAGAGGTGCTGGTCCCCTCCTGCTGCTTTCTGTCTATGTAGCTGGAGAGCTGCTCATGGGTTGGTCTGTAGGTAGGACAGCCCCAGGCCTTAGGCTCTGGGCAGACACATACAGGAGGTCAGTCATGAAAATGCACCAAATATGCTTTAGTTTGGTTCTTGTTGCCCCATAAAGCTCCAGAGTTGACATGACCTTGAAGGCTACGCCTACTTTACAGCACAAAACCAGCCATGGGCTGCTCTGTGTCTCAGAGGATAAGTACATGGCACAGCTCACATCTGTACTGCCAGAACTGGACCTGTGGGCAGACCCTGATTAACTAACACAAACACAGATGTTGTATAGGTTCGTGTGTCAGTACCACTGCTGCAGAGCTCCCTGTCTGGCAGCAAAGGGCTGCAGTGGGACAGAGGTTCTCTCTTTTGATGCTCACAGCACCTGGACAGTCTGTTCCCTCCTTCACAGCAGTCACCTTAGCAAGAAAAAAAGGAATTGCCCCAAGAGAGTGTGTTCCCTCTTTTGTGAAGCTGTGTCATCCCATACCACTGCAGTTCTCCAAGTGTAGGTTCAAACAACGGTTGTTAAAATGGGGATTTAATGGATGCAGCATGGACCTAGGACACTCAGGTTTGAGCAGTTTTTAACTGTGTACCAGCATCTAGTTGTGGGATATGCAGAGTAACAGAACTCTCCATCATTCCTCGCAATTTGCTCAGCTGTGATTGGAAGGGAAATTTGACACTGCACATCATTCCACCTCATTCTTCCAAAGTTCGTGTCAACTGTGTGATTAATTGCCAAATTATTCATGTGGTAGGCAATGCAGTCTTGCAAGGGAATGGTTCTAGGTGCTAGCACAGGCAGCCAACTTGTGGAGAGACATCTCTTTTGATAAGCAGCAAAGTAATGGTGTGCAGAACCTGTGGATCACAACTAGCTCACCATGAGAAACAGCACATAAAATGTGTTAGATTTTTGTTTACAAATCTAAGTGAACCATAAGCATTCACTAATTTTTTCACTGTTCCCAGCTAATACACTCTGACACAGTACCTTCATTAATGAAGTAACGGAAAGACCTGGGATCAGAATCACGATCTTGACATTCAATCCTGAAGCCATTAATATTTGTCCCAACAGCTAAGCTGACTGGGATTTGAAATGAATAGAAATTAGGTGAACAAACTGGTTCTTCATCGTTTACTTCCAAAACATTCACAGTTACCTGAAAGAAAAGAGCAATAGCAAGCTGAAGCTGCTCCACTATGCTGAGTCAGAATTTTATTAACTTCAGAAACTGTTTGGCTTTGCCCACTTTGTTCTTTTGATCAACAGCAGTGGAAGAGCACTGAACCTCCCTTCCAATCCAGTTCCTGCCAGAAAATGTCTGTCGTCATTTGGGCTTCAATTCTTCTTGTGATCAATGCTCCTCTGCGAGAAGGTTCCTTGACCTGAACTATCTTCCAAAACTGGGATTTTTAAGCTCTATGACCATTTGAATAACCTAAATTGTATCATAGTTAGAATGACATATCCATTAAACTCCCTTTCAAACCTATTGAACAAAACAAACCTATTTCAAACAGTCATCAGTTAGGCTTCCTAGCATATTTAATAATAATTCAGAGCATGATCCATGGAAGCAACAGTGCTTATAGACTGTTCCCAGTGAGAGAGAATGCTGGTAATGACCTTCTGCATGGCTGGGAGCACCCTGAGTAGCACCAGATGTGTTTAATGTCAGCTGGGATTATCTGGCTGACAGAAAAAGGTTACCTTTCCCAAAGTTCTTTCCTAGTCAGGCAATAGATAAACTTGCCATCCTTAAAATCTTCTGATGCTGAATTTTCATTTATCATCACCTAGAAATATTGTAGATGATAAAGAGATTAAGTACCTCCCACCTAGCATCTCTATGTGTGGCGCTTGTCTGGAATAAAAAGCAAGTTTAATTCTTGTGTCACCTCCAAGAGATGTGCAAAAGTCAAATGTGAAGCAGTCATGAGGGAGAAAATGTGAAAAGAAGTAAAAAGGAGTCTGTCTGTGAAGGAAACTGGGTTTCTTTGAAAGAATTGACTGTACAGTGACCTTTGTGGGTATACCACCAATATCTTTATTTCTGAATAAAATAGGTCTGGGCAACAAACTTGAGTGCAGCCCTGCTGTTAAATGTTATCACTGGTGCGTGGCATGGCCTTGGATCCTTCCAGATAGCACCACCAGGGAAAAAACTAGATCACAGTCATGGGAAGGCACATGTAAGGGTTCAACTCCAATAGGCCATGTGGACACAGTGTAGGCTGCGTGTACTGGGCTGGCCCCTCTGACATTAACCCAAGAGGCTGCCCAAGCCCAGCTCCCATCCCCAAGGTATTTAGCACATCCTCTCTGTACCACCCATGAAAACACAACTCTGATGGGCTGCAACACAATTCCCACGTTACTTTGGATGTTTTGCAGTGAAAAAACATCACAGACAAAATCAAAATTATGTTTGAGGGCCAAGGGACACTGCACAGGTTCCAAAAAGGACTTGTCACTAAGCATGGTTACTATTAGATTGTGCTACATGGCTTCAAGACCCTGTCTTTTTTCTATTTTCTGGTACACATGTAGCCATTAAGAAAAACTTACATTGTCGAGGGCACTGAAAACAATTTCACTGCTGAGGTAAAATAAGAAAAAAAGACTGAAAAGCAAAACCCACAGAGTTAAAATCATTAAAATATTACTTTAATTGTTTTTATAAGAAATAAACCAAGACTGAGTGAACTGAATGAACCTTTTTCATCTGAGTAATATATGACTCTGTGCAGGGCTCAACTTGCCCTTCACAGACCAAAGTGCTTTGCCCAATGTCTTACTGTTGTTGCCAGGAAGAAAACAGAAAACCTTAGATAAAGTGGAAGAAGTAGAGTGGATTTACTCACTGATGCTGTTGTAAACTTCTCTTGGTCTGAGGCCTGTACTGTGAAAATGTGTTTCTGAGTCGTTTCATAGTCTAATCTAGCTAAAATCCTCACATCTCCTTTGGTTGAGCTGATCCAGAAGACATTTGTGTAATCTCTGGTGCCTCCTCCTGCTACAATGGAATAAGTGATGATAGTGGGTGGCCAGTCCTTGTCTATGGCATGCACTCTTCCAATGCTGGATCCAGCTGAGAGACAGAAAATTCATATTTCATTAACATTTTAAAGAACAGGAGGTACAGAGTCCTTGTTCCAACAAAAACTTGATGACACTGAACTAAAGATTTTGGTTTAGAGTTTTTCACTCCAAAAAATTAAAGCAGTGGTGTGAGAAGCACTAGTTCACTGCGCTGTGCTATGGCTCCCCTGTGCATGGGCTTGCCTGCCAGCAGTAAATACCAAAACATAAAGAGTCTGTAGAGAACCACAACAGAACTGCACCATAGCTGGGCCAAGGGAGCCCTCCCTTTTCTGTGTCAGTCTATAATGGTTCCTTTGCACCACCGCACTCCCTCCAAAAGGCTAATTTAGCAAGAGTAGAAAGACAGTCTAAAACAAGACATCTGAGTTCATTTCCTGGCACTGCCACAGATTTCTTGTGCAATTGCTGAATTTGTCTGTGTCTCAGCTTCCATCTGTACAATTGGAGTTTTTGCCAGTTTAGTCTATTTAAGGATAGTAGGTAGTTGCATGGTGAGACCCTGGTTGAACTGGAACTTTGAACCCTTCGCCTCATTTAAATATATGGAAATTCAGGTAGAGCTAAGAGGTACTTACCAACATGACAACATTATTTCTATAATGTTAGGTGTTACTTACTGTACCTTTAGTAATTTCTGAAACATTAAATACATAAGATGAAGTACTGAAGACTGGGAAAAATTCATTCACTGGTTTTATCCTGATGTAAATGTAGATGATATCTGGAAGTATAACAAGATTAAATCAGAGTTAAGTATGGCTGTGAAATTTTCTCATGCATGTATTCAAAATACATATGGTATTCCTCTCTCCATGCTGTTACAGCACAGAAGACTATCAAAAACAATGTAAAAGGGATACTTGCTTGAGTAGTTGGGATGGTCAATATCTTGCACCCTAACAGTCAAAGTATAAACTTCAATTCCTGGATTAGCAGGGTTCTCTAAATCAATAGTTCCAGTCATCTAAATTAAAAAGAAACACAATTGTAGTTATGCTTCCTTATGGGAAGTCACAATACACAGGATGGTAATTACTTTTTTCAGCATTCTGTAAATGTGATCTCCCCCTTGGACATACAGTATTGTTCTACAGGAATAATACAGTCTATTAACAGATTGCAGGATTGAATTCCAGGCTTTTTTCTACACATTCATGCTCTGTTATCTCTTGAAAATTCAAAACTCTTCTCTTCTGCCAACAAAATTTCTTCCCCATAAGCGCAGGAAGTTTTATCATTTGGATCATAGTGTCTTGACCTTCTACCTAGTCGATTCAAAGCACATTTAATGAGCTGGGTATTTACTCTGCCTTTTGTTGGCTCAACAAGAATCTATGATTGCTAAACAGCAGTAGTTACTCCTTGAGCTCATGCCTGCAGATATTTACTAAATGTATCAGGTCCAGCCACGAATGTTTATCCAGGCACCAAGTTGTTACTAAATGGTGGCTCACGGAGATTTAAATCCTAATCTCCTGAACTCTATCTTGCTGTAAGAGCATCATAAACTTTGGGACTAACACACATGGTCATCCACTGTTCATCATAGTCTACAGGGAAACTCCTGGAGGAACAGGTCACTTCAGATAGCCTGTTACATTGCACATACACAATGCTCAAAGGGCTGACAACAATCATATCCTGTGCAGCAAAGAAAATGCTTTCTATTTTGGTAGATGAAGCAACTAAGGGCAGTACTTATTGGTAAGGATACCTTAGATCCAAAATTAAAATAAGCCATACAAAATCATTTTACTGCTCCCATAGCACTCCTGTCTTTTATACAGTATGCTTATTTTTTCTTCTTTCCCTTTTTCTGTAGTTACCCATGGTTCTTTTTCAAAGCAACAAAACAACCACTATTGCACATGTCTAGGAACTAGTGGGGTTTCTGGCCAGTGTGAGTTTGCCAGCAGCTGTCAGCATAAGGAACACATATTTTGACATAAAAATCACACAAGTGCAAACCCCACCACACTTCTGGGAATATTTGCCACTCAGAGTGGTTTTAAAATTCTGACCAATGAAGCTGGGAAGTCGTTACTGAGTGTGGGATTTCTCAAGTATTTAAATTCTTCATGCTGAATAGCAAGGATCTTCCACAGTCTGTCATGAGTAAATGGGTATGAAATAGCATCAGATTTCTCTGTTTACCCATATCAAAACTGGTTCTTCACACTCCCTAAAAAAGGGTATTTTTTTCAATCATATCTATCACATTTATTTAAAACTGGAAAAAACAGTCTCTGTTCATTAAATTCTGTAGAATCCTTAGAAAGCACCCAATCAAAGGGTACATAGTTCACATCCAGTCAAAACAGTCATTCTCCATATCATACCAACTGTGAAATGGATCACAGTAATTATTTTTCTTGTACAGACAATGAATTAAAAAAAACTTACAATATTTCATAAATTGACTTCTGAAATGGGATAATTTAACATAAAACCACAAATGACTGACCACAAGTCTTCCAGACACAGTGGAATCCAGAGTGAAGTTATTGCTTCCAAAGCCAGATAATCCAGTGAAATTAAATTGATTGTTTGACGGATCAACATCAATATCTTTACAGTAATTTCTAAGATCAATGAGAAATGTCCCAGGAGCCGTGTTTTCATTTACTTCTTTCCTGTTTAAAACAAACACGTTTCCCATCAGTGCAACTTATATTTCTTCTTTTGAACTCTTCATAGAATATGTGCCAAAACATTGCTTTATATTCTTACTGAAATCCTAGATCTAAATACAACAATAGATGAAGCTACCCAGAATCTGATCCATATGTTGTGACAGACAACAGCCCTGTACAATGGGCAGGCTAATGATTAATGTCCATTTGAAACTCTAGCTGTAGATCTGGGGAGCCCAACTGATGTGCCCTGGGCTGCACACCGGCCTGGGGCAGCGAGGCAGCACCAAGGCATAACACACTCAGTACCTGAAGGCAGAAGGACTGCATTCTGGTGGGTTGTCATTGATATCAGAAATAACGATTGTGATCTCCATTTCACTGGCGTGACCATTGCTGGGACTGTCCTCCACCCGGACTCTCAGTGAGATGTTGGGATGGAGCCGCAGTGGAAGGGCGTCGCGGTCGATTCTCCCGGTCACCTGCAGCACTCCAGTCGCTGGGCAGCAAGCAGACAGAACTTAGACATTCACCATGGGGGGAAATAACAAATGGTCATGGTGTACATGCAAGAGGACAGGGTAGCTCAGCAGACAGGTAGCAGAACAAAAAGTCTTCTATTCTGTACAAGTCATGTCTGGTTTAGTTGTTTTCCTTTTTTTTTTTTTTTGTTCAAGTGATACAAAATTGCTGTGAACATTCTGAGTAAGACTAATGGCTGCATACCCACTGCTCAAAAATAGGCGCTGGGAGGCCTCAGTAGAGCATTTGTAAATCAGTTAGGTTTCCCTTATTCTCAAGTTGCTATTGCAAGTCAGAGTTGAGTGCATTCACAGAGCATCAAGGAGAATGAGCAGCTAATGCCTGTGCTGTCCTTGCTCTCTAGCAAGTAAGACTGCTTCACTTTCTACTGTTATCATTCAAGCATCCTTCAGCACCTCCAAATCTACTCACACATCAACAGAGCTGCTCTTAGCTGTGACAGACTGTGTCAAGTGCTCTGGTCAGCCATTCACTTAATTTTTTTTTCACTTCTGTTAGCTCCTGTTCAAAAATAGAAGGTTTTTATGGCACAGCACAGTACTATTCCCAGAGCACAAAGGTAAAAGAACAGTGTGTAATATCCTCAGCCTTTTGAAGTGTAATTGAGGGGGAGGGTGACAATATGTGGCCAAAGGGCATAGGGAATTCAAAGCATTTAAGGATCACCCTGATCCCCCACAGCACTGCGTTGTGTGGCACCTCTTACAGCTGTGATAAGCAGTTCTAAAGCAATAGCAGACAAGGAGCAAAGCAGTCAATGAATGCCAGACCTGGAGCAAAAACCACTGGGAAACAGATATATGGACTCCAGAGAGCACAAAGGGGGTAGGACCATGATAAGAGAGAGGATTCTTTTGGATAGCCTTACCTGAGGAGGGTCATGAATGGAGCAATGAACCAGAGGTATAGATTTGCTGTGCACCTCAGTGCTGGAGAGGATTTCAGACAGGAGAGAGGACATTATGGTACAACTATGTTCTGAGAGCCCCAGAAGGGTTACTGCAGCTCTCAGAGATTAAAAAGAAGTCATCTAATCTGACTTCCACCCAAGGGATCATCACTCTGCAGCCACAAGGCAATATTTGTCAAGAAGTCACCTTTGATCTACTTTCTTCAAGATATGTTACTGAGTCTTGGCCAGGTGACCAAAGAATTTGACCCTAATAAGGGATTGAGCATTCATTATTGATATGGGAAGCCACAAAATAAAGTCAGTCAATTTAAAACTAAGGCAAAAACATTTTCTCCAAAGTAGCCAGGTTTTTTTGGTTTTTGTGGGGTTTTTTTGGATGTCATAAGGCACATTTTTGCTTGTCTTACATGGATTTATGGAGAAGTATCTGTCAGAAGATTGGATGCTGTAGAAAAGTCTGCTGGGAGAGTCTTCATCATCTGGATCTTTAGCTGTTATATTGGCAACAATGGCACCTGGGCTTTGTTCCTCTGGAATTCTATAGATTGTTTGTTTTCTACAAGATAAAACAAAATTCAGCAAAGCACACACTGTGGTTACAAGGGCAACTGATTATGGACTTCTCTGAGCAGCCAATTGTAGGAGCAGAGCCATGGCCATACTGGGCTCAGAGATGGTGTTTTCATGTCAGGGTAAATATCTGCCAGCTGGACATGTAGCAGTAGCTGAACTGGTATGTGTCCCTGTGTTCACAAAGCATGACACAGCCACACAAATTAGTGTTTCTTCCTCTGCAACTTTTCCACAGTAAAAACAATTTGACTTTCACAGAATCATGGAAGCTGAAGTTGGGAGGGGCTGTTAAGTCAGGCTCTCCATCTCCCTACAGACCCACCAGCTTTAAAGCCACTTGCTTTAATTCCTTCATTTTCCAAGAGCAAAACAAAAATAGAGTAAGTTTAATGTAGTTAATCATCTTTTTAATAAATGCTGAAGGCTTTTGGGGGACAACAGTATTACAGAAAAGCTGAGTTGCCCCTGTAGTAGGCAGAGCCATGGAGAACTCCTGTGGGTGCCCAACAGATGAACGTGCCTCAGACTCCCAACAACATCTGTCTGTCTGATGTATTCTACATAGAGAAAATGGTTCTTTACTGCTGCTGTTTGGTATGCCAGTGATCCCAAATTTCCCATTAATTGAGTTTTATAGCTCAGATATAGTCTGGAAGGTAATTGCACAGGAGTGCTTACAGTGATTGCAGTTGCATGTTCACATGGGTACTCAGGTAGGCAACTTGAACCACTTGCAAAAACAGGCATGGGCCAGGACACAAAAATTGTGGAAGGAATTTCTGAAGTTTGATTTATGCTACTGAAACACACACAAACACACAGGCATCTCCTGCTTCTAGAACTCAAAGAGAGTTGAACATGCTCAAGAGTTCAGTAAAGCATTAGTAGTGTGTTTCAAGACCAAATCCCTTTTGCACATTCTAAACTTTCGATGCCACCACTTAACTAATTTCCCGGTACAGGAAAGCATGAGCCCTTCATTATCCTCTGAAAATACACATCATATGGCACTTAGCCATTGGAGCAGAGAATTACAGCACATAAGATCCCACATCTCCAGATCTTCACTTGCAATTTTAAAAATATTTAAGAAGACACATTGTCTTCAGCTGTTCTGCCAGATTATATGAAAAGAGGCAAGCATACAGGAGAGGAATCACATAGGGTTTTCCCAGTAAAAATACCTAACTTAACAGCCAGAAGTAAACAATGAGTTTATGAAGGCTGTGGTGTCAGTGTATTTATGAAGCTTCTATCTCACTCTTGGCACTGGATCTCCTCCTTCCTTGTTCTCCTGTTGCTTCCAGGTTCACTCATTCAAAAACAGTAACAGATGCCCTTCACTTGTACCAAAAATGCCACCCCAAAATGTCTGGTATAAGAGGGACAGGCCTAACTGGTTTTTGGTTCAAAGTAGGAACTGCCTAGGCTCACTGGAACCACAACTCCAGCCTCTCTGTGGACAGTAAACTCACCACAGCTCAACTTTCCCTACCAACCCTCTTGCACCCTGTGCTGGTCATTGTCCTGTCCCCACTAAATCTTTCAGGAAGAAGTGGGACAATATTGAGCACATCCCCATAACACCAACTACCAATACAACTGGGGAGGAGTGGGGGCCATTTCCTACACAACTGTGTCTGGGATGTGTCCTGTAGTCCATCTGTCTGCCACCTGCCAATGGCTTTGTACAGGATGGTTCAAGCAGACCTTTCAGACACTGCAATGTAATTGCAGAGGGAGCATATGTTTGTTTTCTTGTCTTCTCCTTTGTTTTCCTGACTCCACAAGTTTTCCATGGATTTTAACAGCCAGAATTTCAAAAGGCTGAATGCCAACGGAGCACTGTGAACACCAAAACCAGATGTGCTTGCATATACTGTGGGAACAATTAAAAAGACCCTTTGAAACCCCGTTCTTGACAGCTTTGATCGGGGTAAATAAAGGAGGTTTGCTAACTCGTCAAGTTTCCCCAGCTCCCATCCCAGCACTAATTATTACAGTGTCAGAAAGTACATGGCCCCAGCATGCTGCTCACATTTTAGCACAGGAGACACCATATGTGTGCATACTAAGGACAGATCATGAAGTGTAATTTAATCTAAAGTGCTTTACAAACTGAGCTGCACTTTTTGGTCTGTAGTGTCAATCTAAAAGGGAGAAGATTCAAACAAATACCAGACTGTATTCATGCCATATGAGAACTGAGTCTTAGAATTTGCGTGTTACAGATGCTCAAGTCACTGCAGCTTTCACTAATTCAAACAAGTAGACAAATATTTGAAAGGGCTCCTTTAGCATTCCAGACATAAGAATAAATACACAGAAATGGCAACATTTGGAGGGAATAATCAGTCTAGAATACAATGTGCAGAGGTTGGCACTGAGAAGAAGATTTCTCCTGCTTGCAGCAGTGCAGTAATGTGGAGCAGGCTGTTAAGAGTATTGTGTATTGCAGACAAGAGGTTCAAGTATCACATAAGTAGTAACAACAACAGCAACAAAAATCCATTCCTATTTCTAACATTTAATTCTTCTGTTTCTTCAGATTCTCCAGCCCTCTACCCATCACGGTCCTTGACTTCAGCCCAGGTGCCGTTCATTGTTCTGGCTCCACAAAACAGCCAGAAGATTGTTCCAAACAGGTGGCTGGAATGTCTTGGCATAGCCCCAGGTGCTATCCTGTCTTAACCTTTGCAGAGATGGCAGGAGAGCAGCCACCATAAATATTCTCAGCAGGGCCCTTGTAGAGTCTCAGAATCAGGAGGCATAAAGAGAGCGTCTTGAATCCCATCAGTGTCTCATGCAAGTGACAAAGATTAATCAACAACAGAGTCAGATTGACTCCAATAATTGTCACGCTCCTGCTTCAGAAACAACCATCCATCGTGCTTTCCACGACAAAATAGCCTGCCTGTGGCACATTAATTTTCTTTCCCATTTTTCCAAATTTCCAACAATATTCCTGATTCCAACTAAAACTCCATTAGTCTTCAAAGCTATTTCTGACTTGTGTGTTATGACACAATTTCCTGCTTATGACACTGTAAGAGTCAAAAATGTTTCAAAAAATCCCTGGGATTGTTTACAAGTGTGCCTGGGAAGAAGAGGAAGACAGATCAAAAGGGAGACCTTTTTTATGTCTAGACATTTCTGCATGAATAAACATCGTTATGGTGAAATGCACACCTGCATAAAGGGTAAATTCTAGATGATTGTATTCACACAGGTTGAAATTAATCTCCTTGTCTGAACTTGTCCAAAGGTCTCTGCATACCTATAACCTCTCTAAATGCCAAAAAGTAAAACAAGCTTGTTTGACTTTTCTTAGCATGAAGGCAGAGCCTGGAGAACTCTAAACTACTAAGAATATGAATAAGAATAAAAGAGGGAAATTAGGACAAAGCTTTCCAGTATAAGAATAGGAATCATAACCAAATTAAAATACTTTTTTCAGTAATATTTTGTTGTTATATTTATTTGCCCTTACGTTACACCATCTCATTGATGCCAAAGCAGTAAACCTGGAAAAACATCTACATTTTGAGTGCAATGGAAAATTTTCACTCACGTGGTAAAGTAAGGCCTTTCATCGTTGGTGTTAATTATATTTACATTTACTGTTTTAGTTGAGTTGAGTCCATCCAGGTCTGTCACTGTTACATTTAAAAAGTAACTGTTAAATAAGAAAACAAAACGAGAGTTGTTCTCTGGCTATGCAGGAAAACGTTTCTCTGACTACTGTAAGCTAATAGGACATGTGAATAAAATATGTTCTCACCAATGTGGATCTTTCTCATAATCAAATTCTTTCATGGAGAAAATGGCTCCACTTTCCGTGATCAAGAATGGCACTGTTGTAGGGAGCAGTGAATACTGAAATGAAGAGAATAAGGAATTAGTCTTTGTATATTTAAACATCCCTTCGTTCATTCCTTGCCTTGTAGAACAGGCCAAGTTACAGTACAGCATTTGCCTCAAACTCCACAGTGAAATTCTGACACACAGATTGCACAAGCCCTGATCATCACACCAGAACAGCTTGACCTTGGTCATAAGTGGTTTGCTTACAGCCAGTGAAGAGTCACAGACACCAAATTACATCAAAGGTCATGCTGTTCTCTACCTCTGGGAGCTCCAAGTCTGCAATTAGAATTTCACAGAGAGAGCAGCCAGCAGGACCACAGCATCACAGGAGATAATCAGCTTTGTGGTGGCAGCAGAGTGCATGCACAAAGGGCAGAGAGAAGGGGCGAGGCTGGATTTGTGGGACCTGGAGGCTATGGAGGAGGCAATGATGTCTGGGGATCCAGATGATGGGAGAAGGTAAGGAGGGGAGAGTGGTTTTTCACAGAGTATATACAGGGGCGAGGCTGGAGAGTGTTCACAACAGCCCAATGCTAACAGAGATGGCACATAACAGCAGTGGCTTAGTGCATTGCACAACACAAATGGGTACCACAGCCGTGCATGGGTGCAGGAAGGAGCAGAGCACCCCAACACCGTACACACTAGGGAGAAAGGCAGCATCCTGCTCCCTGTGGAGATGTGGCAGGCATACCCACCACATCCTGCCCACTACCTTCACACACCAAGCCAGCACTAGTAGCCCACAAAGACATTTCCTTTACTAGTGCAGGTGTTAATAACACCCATAAAATCTGAAGTATGCGAAAACAGAGTAAGTTGCAAAATCCACTGAGCAGATCTGCCTGAGGATGTAACAGCATTTCTCTGTTTGCCGCTTCTTATGCCTGAGATGTGTCAGCTTGCAGAACTTACTGCCGTTGCTTTTATACACAAAGCAGAGCTAAACCCCCACAGCTCTGCTTCTCTCCTTGCTGGCTTGGGTTCGGAGATTTGACTGGGCAAAGCCTGAGGATAGACTTCAAGCTAATTGTTTTCTTGAATAATGCTCCTCATTGAAGTAGCATCTTTGGGTTCAGTTCTTGAATGTGCTGTATTTATTGGCTTTGTAAGACAAAGCCAAGAGACCAAAGATACAACACAATTCTGAGGTAAGTGCAGTTACTTTTTCACTGTCTGCAAACAAACTTACCATTTTCCAGACTTTTTCCTGGTACTGAGAGTATTTTCAGATCAGCTAACACATTTTTGTAACTGAAGGTCTCAGTTTGCCTTGGCATTGTCAAAAAACTGAGATTCAGTTGTCTTGTAAGTGATTTCCTTACAAAGAAGGCTAAGAACTCAAAATACAATTTGTGTCCAAACATTAAGGCCGGATTTTCTTAGTTTGGTATTGAAAATACTTCTTTTTCCTGATTAAACCTTTTCCTGTGTTCCTGATAAGGAAGGAAGTTGTCGAAAGATGGTGGTAATTAGCTTTTCAGATACAGTGGATTATGTCATCTCTGTTTGGCTTTTTTTCTTTAATACAACTTACTTTGAGTTTGTCATTTTCAGGATCAGCTGCATCAACTTGGTAAATGCGTTCTGGACGTGTTCCTTCCAACACATAGATCATTAGAGCTGCACGGATATAATTGTACTCAGTGTTAGTTGGGTAAGAATAAATGACCCAGCAGCAAACAAATTGATGCACTGACGCTGTCTGGAGGTATTACTGCTTGCTACATGTTCTTACTTCACAAGTGTAACTCCAAAATCATCACAAATATCACAAATACTCAAAAGATAAAAAGAAACAAATTACACATCCGTAAACAGGTAACCATCACTGCGAACTGCAAACTGCAACATGAATTGTGCCTTCAGGGGAAAGACTGATCTTTCCATATGGCCTATCTTGAGCTGTTCACAAGTTATGGAGTTAAACTATTCATTTGGACTACACCTGTGTCTTTCTTTACTATTCAGATGGGGAGAACACAGTTCTGTGCTAGGTCGTCATCACCGTCCCCTTCCCAAGGCACGTCCTGTGCCTTGCCAGGAGAGCTCAGAGCTTTTTTTCTTAATTTCTGTTTTTCCTTTATACCTATGAGGCAAATAGTGGATGGTCTGCACTGACTTACATGTTTGCTTTCCTAAGGTTGCTAATTCAGTGCAAGGTGTATTTCCTTCCATAGCAGGGATTCTCACAGCTGAGCTATCCCATACTGGACCACCGGCAAGAGGCTTATCCCTCCTTGGGTAGAGCAATTAACAGGACAGCAGATCTTTAGATCATATTATTTGCTTTATGGCCTTTTGTGTCTGCTGGACCTGCTCTTTCTGGACTATTAATTTCCACTGTGACCCCTACTGATTGCTGCTTCTCATCAGAGCAGTAGGAAACCCAGAGCAGCATAATGAGTTGTTCCCAGAGGACAACAATATGAATATAAAGTTTAATGAGAGGAAGATACTTTTTCATAAACAGCGAATGCGCAATTAGTGTCTAATTGTAGCTGGTACTGTTAACTAAAGCCACACAGTCAGACAGATCAGACATCTGTGCTCACCAATTTATGGCAGCTCTAGCTGAGAGTTAAGCTGATGCACTTATTTGTAACAAGCTCCCACGTAGTGTGTTTCATGCTGTGTCGATCTCCTAAAGTGTCACATTTAATTATTATTAGATTCCAGCAGCACCCATGATATGTAAGACACCAGCTATACTGAGAAGATGACACAGCCTCTTCCCTAGGGGAAACTAATTTGCTTTACAAACTAAGTATTGTATGGAATCAGGAATGTCAAAGTGCTTGGGAGGCATCAGTGAAGCAGCTGAATCTGAGCAGGCCGGTCAGAACTGGCGAGTTGCAGCCCACATTATACTGCTGCCAGTCCAGATCTGGGGAGACAGCAGCCAGCTTTGAACACCTACCACGAAGGGATCACAGTTTAACATTTTCAGACTTTTAAAAGACTGAATACTAAAGTGTGCTCTGCCATACAGTGATGTTAGAATATCAAGTCTTCAAACAGGCTCTCCGTACATCATGAAATAACCTGAACTGTTCTGTCTGCATGCAAACACATAATAAATACATCACCATATTCTGCTGCCTGTGGTACAGTTTTTCCAGGTCCCTCTCATTAGTAAATGAGAAAGATAAGGTCGCTCAGGGAGTAAGACAATTATTTCCTATCCATTTGAGGGAGTTGCCACTTGCATTAGGTACCATGGCATGCCCAGCCTGCGCTGGCCACAGATGGGTCCAGACCCTTCAGCCTCATTCCTAAGGCTACTACATATTCTCCCCCCTTACACTTTTGCCCATGGACTAAAAGTAAACGTGGTTAACATCATCTGCCCCACTCAGGAGATAGAACTCTCCACCTCTTTCCATTTGCACCACCATAGATCACAATCACTGAGATCTCACTCTTCAAACTGATTTTCTGCTTCATTTCTCATGTGCAGGTGCAAATGCAACATACAGATGTAAAACATCCACAAAGCAATTTTTTTATCATTTTCCTCAGAAATTCTTGCACACACAACATACACTTATTTAAATTTATCTGGCTTGTCCAAATCAGCCCAGTTTTCAACAAACTACTGGAACATGTATCCATATTCAGTGGTTATATCCCCACCAAACTTCAAGTCTCTAATGTGTATTTCTAGGTAGGTATTAATATAATAAAAAAAGGAACATACATATTTATTGGTATCAATTATTTTTTCTTTTAATTTTTCAGGTGCTTCAAAATGATTAAATAATTTTTGGTCAAAGCTTCAAGAAAAATAAAAGGGTATTTCCAGCAATGAAGAACACCAAATACTTGTGTTAAATAAAGCTGTGATAAAAACTGTGTCCTGTTCCTCCCTCATTTTTGTAAAGGAAAATTCTTAAACTACTTTAGTTATGGGCACTGTATGCAGCTATAGCTTTTTTTAAGCTGATGTCATCTTTTCAAATCTTGTTCTTTTCAAATACTACCATTATCTTACTTTGAATTGCCATATTTCCTCTAAATACAGGATGTTCATTTTTATCTGTTACTCGAATAGTCAATATGTTAAGATCAGTTCTTCCAGTTGTATCTTCAACGAAAATCTGTAAATCAAAGCTCTTTGGCATTGTTTCATAATCCAGGACAGGGTTTCCAGTGGTAACAACCTGAAAATAAAAGATTATTATTGCAAGAGATATAAGTTATAATCTAGATGAGTGAATAAGTTATGGTCTAGATGAGTGAATAAAGTAAAGGGACACTTTCAATCAATAAACAGTGAGTATTTCAGATCACCTTCTACTTGCTAGCACATTTCTTGTCACTAGCAAAAATGTGACAAAAACAGAGTGGAGAAAGAGACCAAATTGTTGTGGCTTCATGGAGAAACTCAAGGATCTTTTGTGTGAGGACCAGTTTGAGGAGGAGAAAGCCTGGAAGGAGCTGTCCTGCCTCACAGGCAATGCTTTTCCTTCAAGGTCAGGACTACATTTTACCCTTTAACCTGTTCTGGGAGAAAACTTGCAGGAAACCACAGAAAGAAGGGAGCTGCACAAGTACAGTGCATGAGAGAGAGACCAGAACTGTTTGGTGAAAATGCTGAACTAATTAAAAAGTAACCTAGGCCTTGAGTTTTGCAAGACTGATAAGGCAAACATTTCCTTGCCATGACAAAAAACCAAGAAGAGACTTCTCGTCTATTTGCAGAGTTATTTTTCTTCCAGATTGATTTCTCAGTCTCACTCAGAAAGCAGCCATATAAATTCTTATGCTGGACAACATAACAATGGCATGGGACAGAAGCAAGCAGTGTTTTGCAGTATGCTTTGCAGTGGAAGGGATAGCTTTAATTCAAAATGCCAACATACAGCCTAGGAAGGGACTCCCATATTACAAATTTTCTGTCAGCAAAGCCAGCTTAAGGGACATATCCATTTCCTTCTGGACTCCAGGAAACAGCATGAAGCTATGTCAGAGGAGGTTTAGGTTGAATATTAGAAAAAGGTTCTTCACCCAGAGGGTGGCTGAGTACTGGAACAGGCTTCCCAGGGAAGTTATCACCGAGCCTGACAGAGTTCAAGAAGCGTTTGGACAGTACTTTCAGGCACATGGTGTGATTCTTGGGGTGTCCTGTGCAGGGTCAGAGGTTGAACTCAATGATCCTGATGAGTTTCTTCCAACTCAGCATGTTTTATGACTCTATGATTCTATGATCTCTGCAGCTGACCCAGTCCAGGTGTTTGTCCAGCCACACTCTATGCTTCACAGATGAAAGAGGGCTTTTTGGAAAGTTTTATTAACCATTTCACTGGCCTGGTTGGGGAGCAGTAAAGAACCAGCAGACCTGGCACAACTGAGCTTTGTACTTTGCTGGGAGGTGGGACTGTGGGAGTGTGTGAGCTGCAGCAGCTCCCCTCAGGCAGGTCAAATCAATGAGCCACAACTGCCCAGGGCCACAGTCTTACTTTTCCCAAATTTTCTCCTAGAAGCACCAGCAAAGAGAACAAGAAAAGAGCCCTCATAGCAGTTCTGTGAAAACCTGAGCTTCATTGGAAATACACGGAAAAGGGTATTTAAGATGCTTCTTAGTTTCTATCTGTATCTTTTAAAGATGCTCTTCAGTGTCACTGTTCAGTCTCAGACACAGAAGCAAGTTACAATGGGATGACAAGTTATCATGTGTCTGAACACTCATTGCCAGTGACAAATGTGAGTTAATACTTGCTAATTTATCCAACAAGGAAAAGTAGCCTGAAATAATAGAAGTTGCTTTGCATTTGCCACAGGACAAAAGCACACATACAAATACATTGCAGATGCGCGGAAAGCTGATACCTTCTTACCTCAAGATAACTTCCTCATGTGCCACAGCCTTTGTTCAGAATTAAAAATTACTTTGATCTGACTCAGTTTCCTTTATTTTGGAAGTGAGTCAAATTAATTAATTCTAGGTGAGAGTGGCCAAACAGAAACTGCATGTGGTTTAACTAAGCCACTTCAAATTCACAGTGATTTCATGTAAATTAAGTTGAAAAATTATGGACAAATCCTCAGAACAGAAGGAGGGTTCTACATGCTCTTCTTCACCTCTTATTTTCTAAAAATCATGGTTTTTTCTATCAGAGAACTAATGGAATTATTGTGATGAGTGATTTTTGAAGATGCAATTAAAAATTGTATTCACTGTTGCTATTCATTTGTCATACCTATTGCAGCATGTCGAAATACTACCACATCTGCATTTACAACTCTTTTCTGATTAAAAGATGAGATACTGTGCACTCTCAGTGCTCAGCAATCCAGGAAACGTCAGCGTACATGACTGAACATTGCTCAAGCTAAATGTAAAACTCACCCTGAATTCAAGGCCTCCTTTTGATTCAATATCAAAAGCCTCTGTAAGTGGATTTGAATTTACTATGGTAGGAAGAATTGCAACACCTTCAGAAGACAGTGGAGAAACAGTTACATTGAAGTCACAGACTGAAACACCAGCTGCAGTGTTTTCTTCAACAGTGCTTGTTGCAGGTAAGCCCTTAAGCAATTGGGTTTTTCTTCCTGCAAGATGAAAATAAATGCAAAATTACTTCTGGCAATCTTGGGCTAACAGGAGTACACAGCTTTTGCAAAGAGCTGCTATTTTAGCACAAAATGGCCTGATTCCCTTTTTGCTTATAAACAGGGGTATGCATGGTGGTAAATCTAGTGCTAAATCTAGTAAATCTAGTGCTAAAAGAATCAATCTTTAATTCAGTCCTATAGTGTTGATATCTAGAGTGGCTGTTTTCAGAGTGTTATTGTTACTGCATTGTTTACCTTCGTGTATGTCTTTATATAGAAGCAAAGAAACCAAGGATGTTTCTATCATTTCATTTTGCACCCTGTACTAATTGCTGCCTCTGTTCACTGTCACATCAAACAGCACAGAAAATCACACAGAGTAGGATGTCAAGGAAACATTTTTTGTGAACTACACTGTCTGCAGCACCGTTTTCCTCCATTTTCCCTCTTCTAATTCTTTCTAGGACAGCTTTGTGCATGCCTGGCTTGTGAGTAGTGTGAGTTCGCAACAACTTTGGGTGTTGTGCTGTCGTGTCTCCTGCTTTGGGCATGGAGTAGCAGCCTGGAGTCCTTGGAGGAGATGTGGACCCACAAAAGCACCCTATGGTTCAAAACTGCCTTGAAGCAGCACATACTGGTGAGGCATCCAACAGCTTGTCAATCAGATCTCTGGAGTCCCCAAACCAAACCTTTTGCTTTCTCTGTTATTTAACTTCTAGTTTTTGTTATTTTTGACAAAGGCCTGTTGTGATTTGTCTCATGAAGAGTGTCTAGAAAACATAAATCATGACAGCTTTTAAGGCATGTCCCGAAACAACATCTTAGTAATTTCACATCCTCAAACTGGCAATGTGCCTCAACATGAGACTATGGCAGGGCTGACTGTTGCTTGGGGATGCTTCACTGGCTCATCCAAAACACTCTCCAGGAAAGCTGGCTGCATTCAGTTGAACTTCCTACACACTGTGTGCCAAAAGAAAGGCAAATACTGCTCACTCAGGGGCTGGTACAGACTGTTCATACACCAGCAATTACTGTAGCAAAAGCTCCAGGAAGTCTTTATTTTTGCTACACAGCTGCAAGGTAAAAAGCTGCTGTGGGAAATAGTCTGAGGCCATTAGAGAGGCAGCCTCTCCACAGCTGCATGGGGATTCCCATGCTCCCACACTCCAGATACAGCAGCTCCATGGATCACTGATCTGGCTGGGATTACTCTGGCATTTACGGGAAAAAAAGTCCTTGGAGATACTCTGCAGGTGGGTGAGGCTGGGATGTGGGAGACACTGAGGTGGGAAGACTGTAAGGGTCTGCCTGTAAGAGTTAATCTGAACAGGTCATGCTGACACTCTGATAGGACCGAGTTCAGCTGAGCTGTTACTGATTTATGTGTGAAGGACTAAGTTTTTATTACTGGTCTTACAGGTTCTGGAAAACATCATTGATGAGAAATCACCCATGCAAACAAGACTGGGCTGAGAGGGTCTTCTGGGAATACATTTCCATAAGTGGAGCTGAACTTTGAATATAATCTCCTGTGGACAGTACCTGATGAATCCAGTTCCCTCATGAAGCCACAATTCATTAATGGAAACCATTTATAAAAACAATGAAATAATTTGCAACATTTAGAAATGTAGAAAGGAGTCGCTATTTTTATACTGTCTCTTAAGATTTTATTGGCTGTTTATTCCAGATCTGTCTTTCTAAATCACAAGTTCTTATTTCTTGACCCTTATTTTTAACTGAAATTTTTGATACTGCATCTAAATGACTTCTTCTTTTTTCAACTGATTTTACAAAAATCCTCCTTCCATATTCACAAGTCCTTTCTTACCTCTTTACTTTGCAGAACAAAATATGCCTGAAGCAATTTAATACATTATTTATCATAATTACCAATGCCAAACATTGACAAATGCTGAGTCTAAGACAAAACAATAATAAGATTAGCTTTGAGAAGTTTATGAATATATGTCTTATTTATCTGTGATTTGTTAGTCTTTACAATGTTCTCGAGTCACACCTTGTCTCTCCACAACCATACAGGTGAGAAAAAGGAAAGCTGAGATTCTCATGCAATGTCTGCATCACAGCTTTGGGGCTATCAGGAAAACAAAGACTGACAGGTTCCTGAGGGATGGCAGAACCTTTCAGTTCCTCAAGAGCAACATCACTGCTCCATGAGCCACACAGACTGCGGTTGGAAGATCTACTTTAAGTTGCTAAAGTGCACATATTTGCATTGGCAAATGTTCCGTGCATTTACACTGAACAAGGACAGTGATGTTATCTTTCTAATATTCTCCACAAGTTTTTTCTTCTCTTTGGTCTTTATTAGGTTGCTTGTTTTCACTTTGCCAAAGAGAAATGTTATCAATATTTGAAAGGAGGATACTGGACTATTAAAATACTTATATTTTCTTGGAGAGCTGACCTCCTTTCCCACTCCAATGCTGTCACACTAGCAGTGGCTATTACAGATGAAGTGCCTCATTCAACAAAGTGTCTTAGTAAAGAGTCATATTCTCTTCATTATACTGATGTAACCACCCAGCTCAATCTACTTCAGTAGGAAAATAATTGTTACTTGATTTTTCCCATCCATGTCTGATCCCTAAATCTGTATTATAAAGCTCCCAAGAGAAAGTGTAACAGCCAACAGTGTTCTAATTTTAGCAGCATAATGAAATCATGTTCTTACCAGATACTACTCCCAGCAAAATGAGGAAAAGGAGAATGCTCTTCATTGTCTTTACAACCCTCTCCTTTGTGTTCCCAGGATGCACACTGAAGGAAGATCATGGTATGTTTTCCCTAGTTTACATCGGCTCCACCTAAATTATTCCTCTTTGTCACGTTGTGCAGTGAGAACTGAAACAAAGGACCCGTGTCTCTAAGGGAGTTTCCAAACACCGTCAGCTTGTTTGCTTCTCAGGAGCTGCTCCTTGCTGACACTTCATCCACAGACCTGGTCTGCACTTGGGAAAACAATCATTAATTGTCCTTTCACTGCAATCATCTTATTCAGTGAAGCATTATGAAGATAATCTAATATGTTCTAAATCTGGAAATACTATGCTGCTTTCACCACTCTGGCAATGAGCATTTGACCAGAGTCAAATACTCATGTTTTTTAATATGATGAAGTCTGTACATGATGCAGCTTTGCTGTGGCTGTCTCAGGAACAGCATGGACCCCTATACAAAGTGCACTGGTTCCCTAGATTAGGCATTTAGCTCCCTAGCCCATAGTACACCCATACAACTTTTTTGTTTTTTGATTTAGCTAAGGGCAGTCCTAGTGTTTCTTCATGGAGCATAGTACAGGGTTGACACTAATACTGGAACTGGATGCGATATAGGTGCATTAGAACTGACTTATAGAATAATTTAGCCTAGAAGGGACCTCTATAGGTCACCTAATCAAACATCCTGCTCAGGCTTAATTAGATCAGATTGCTCAGGGATTCATCTAGTTGATACTCGAACACCTCCACACAAACTTAACAGCTCTGCTAAGAGGTAGAATTTTGTGATTCAGGTTTAACACTGCTGTGGAGAAACCTGCCTGACCTGTGAGCTAAGCTAGCATTGCTAGATGGTTCTGCATGACCCTCTGTGGCTGTCCCACTGAAAGCTGACAGTAGTTCAGAAAGCTCTGTCCCATGCTCCTGTGTTTTGTGTAGCATGAGCATGTTAATTGAACATGCTGAACATGAGCAGCCAGTTTAATGCTGGGCCAGGCATTGCCTATGCTTGTTGCATTTGCATCTTAAACTATGGTTTCATACACATATGTGCCCTGGAGAATTCTGCTGATATAATGAAACTGGAAAAGATGCATCAGTACAACCTACTGATTGGAACTGAGCCATATCTACATATCTGATAATGATTTGGGGAACCATGAGAAATATTCATTTGATGGCTAATCTGCATCTATTTTAAAGTGCTTTCTGGGCCTTGTGATGCAGCCTGGGTTTAAAGTGGATGTGGCCACACTGTATCATCTGGGAACACACACTGCATCAAGCTGTAGTACTGAGGAAGCTAATCTTCCATTGCCCCAGGAAAAGTGTGCCTAGACTTTATGTTAGTAAAAAAGTGTATGGAAAACCTCACCCTCAAGGGACCTAATTATGCTAATTATGCTGATAATAATGTAAATGTATTTATCTGGGCAAAAAGTCTCACCTGTCCTTTTACCTACCAGATCTTTACCCATCCTGTCTTATGTGTTTCCTGGGTTCACAAAGAAGCTTTTGACATGACTGGACATCTCACAAAGATGAGGTCTCTGTGCACAGGCATGAACCAGGCTTGTACAGTGTGATGTCTTGTACAGTGATCTTTTACCTGTTACCAGAACACTAAAACTGCTGCTAGCTTTATTCCCTCCTCTTAGTTGCAATGTATAATCAGTGTATGCCACTACAAGGTTGTATTGGAAAAACTATAGAAACGTCTAGGATAAGTTTTAAAGTCTTTCAGACATGTGTCTAAACTTGTTTAGTATCTACTTTGAGTGATAGGACTGATTCCATCCAATGTTCTGAAAAGCCAAGCCATCTCCAGAACTCAGAGGTCACAATTTTTATGCTTTATTTTCTTTCTCTTACTGTTTAGACCGGGGTTTGGGGCCAGGGGGAGGAATTGCTTGGTGGGTTTGGCTTGAGGTGGGTTTTTTTCTATAAATACATTTTCCAGCTTCTTTGTTTTGTCCTTCCCTCCTCTGAGAAAGTACACAGATCTACTTTCAGCAAGGGTTCAGTGTCCATATACATAAATCAGACTTTCCTCTGCACATTTCATGATATAGACACTATAGAGGGATAGGGGAGACATGGATGGGAAAGGCACCTGGACATGTGCTTGAAATGCTAGCCTTTCCCCAGCTTAACCTGGAAGTGGAATAGGTAATTGTTTCAGGTGCTATGTGAATATCCATGGAGTAGTTAATTTCTGCTTTCTCTCTAAATGTATCTCCAGGGCTTTCAAGTAGTTCCTGTTAATCCTCGTGGTTCAAGTATGTTGTGAGAAGAGACTATAAAAGGTGACCAGGGAGATGAGGGGAAAGCCAACTGTAGCACACAGGAATGAGGAAGGAGAACGTGGAATAAGTGTGAGCAGAAAGGGCTCTGGCTCTTTCTTCTTCCTTGAGTTACTGCCAGTATCTCTCAGGACCTACTTAGGTCCCTCTTTTCTTATATTCCTCTGAGTGGATTTCTGTGATTTTCTGATTCAACCTGCCAGGTTGAGAGGCATGAAGTGAAAGAGCAGCCAGAATTAACAGAGAGCCCAGAGCAGGTTGAAAATCAAGTAGAAATAAGTATGCAAGCTGGTTAGGAACAGAGAAAATAGGAAAAAGTGAGCAAGGCAGAAGTTCCCTGGCAAGGGTGGCAACAGCAGCATCTTATGCTGCAAGAAGGTCAGGACTGAGATTCCTGGGAATATAAAGCAATTAGATGAAGAGAGGTCAAGGTAACACAAGCAAGAATACAACCAGGGAGTTTGCAGGCAAAACAGAGGGAGGAGAAGTTAATTGGAGCAAATGAAAAGGTCAAATAAAAAATAGAGTTTTAGTAATTCTTTGGTTTTCAAGATGATTTGAAATCTGGACATTTTAAAGCAGTGCAGAAAACATACACCTCTGAAAAGGTGTCTTCTGGATTATCAGGTAAATGGAGAATACAAGGAAGATGCTACATCTTTCAAGAATTCAAAGAATCCTAGTTCCAAGGGAAAGACCAGTAGATTGGACTATGAGAGAATGCACTGTCTTAGACTTTGATGCCAAGGGAAAGAATACAGGAAGTGAGGGCTATCAGGTGGGAAAGCAGAACTTGATGTGCAAGCTTCCAAATGTCTGTCCTCAAAAAAGCGAGGGGTTTCAACAGAGGCCAGTAGAGAAGTAGTCTACTTGTATAACAAAATGTGCAGGATAACAGCATTCATCGTATTTCTATGCACTTAATTCTCAATTGCCTTCCACTCTGTCAACATGAAGGAAATGTTCTCTCACTTTTCAAACACATCTGAGGTTCAGGACATAAGTTTTCCCATTAATGGCTATTTCAGCCAGAGCAGTGGTTCTCTTGTCCTTAGCCAGCTCATGGGAAAGGAGACATTTTGCTCTTAGTCTGGTAATTACTCACCAAAAACTGAGCAGCCTAAGAAGAATTTTCATACACCTGCTCCAACCTCAGTTTATGAGTATTTATTATTGTTATTCCATAAATTAAATTACTGAGACTGTCATGTTTTATTTTCATCTCCTTCCTCTTTAAACAGTATGGCTTCTCCATTCACTACCTTGGTAATATTTCCTAAAAAATTAAAACAGTACCTTATCATCCTACACCAAAACCTTATGCACCATTTCCTCTGATTTCTCAGCTAAAAGCTTTTTCTGTACCATTTGTGAATGACAAGAACAAATTAAAAGTCATTGAGTACTACCCATGCTACCTTAATTTCACCTAAAGTGACTCCAGCCTATCAAGGTCAGTAACCCATACAATTACAAAAAAAAGTCCCAGGCAGACATCTTTCTAACATTGACTTGTAAACATGTAAACCCACCAGTCACTCCCTTGATAATTAACCTGAGGTGTTTGTTAACAAGAAGTGATTCCATCACACCAAGTGTTTTTTGGGGATCCAGTTTTAACTAAAGAACAGCCTAAAATCTGGGTGAGTACACACAGAAAGGCTGAAAAATGATGCTGTTGTCAGTGGTGAAAACAAGTTCTTCCATTGCTCCACCAGTTATACACCCAAGGGATGAAAGCATTTGCCAGAAAAGAAGGAATCCTGAGAGTCTGTCTTTTGCAACCAAGAATTTGAGCACTTATTTTAGGAGCACTAGGAGTATGTAAGGCATAAAGTTAGCAGAGATTGTTCTGATCCTTCCCATTCTCTCTGCTCCATCTTGACAAATGCGGACTGAGGCAGACAGATGATTACAAGGATATGAATTCAAGAAAACTCCAGAGGTACTTGAATCCTCCTCTAAAAGAAGTCAATTGACTTTAACAAGGTCACACAGAAAGTCCAGAAAAGCCAAAGTTCATGGTCCCACTCCCAATCTCAATCATGATGACTGTAAGACACCATGACTGTAAAAAACACATTGGTTGACAAATATTTTTCTCTTTGAGAAATTCTTGTGTTGGTAAAAAATATTACATTTTCTTCTGCCTTAAAAAAAAAACATGGAAGTCAATGACAAGTTTCAATATTCATTCACCTGAGCAAAGTAGATGCTATCAGCAACTACTTTGTGTTTTGTGGTTCAAGATCAAAAACATGTGGTGGCGTGGAACATTCAGTGCCTGCGAGAAATTATGTCCCTTGCCCACACCCGACAGGTGGATTTTAATCAGGCGATTTGTCTTCCAAAGCAAGTTCTAATGCCAGTAAACATTCAGTGACAAATGTGTTGAGGCCAATGAAGTCTTTCTGTGTTTACTGTTTATTGGATCAGGGCCTGAACCTGTGCAGCAATTCTTTGTACCTCATGATAGAGCATTTACTGCATATTACACGTTTGTCTGTTATTGCAATTGCTTTGCCACCCGAGCTGTTTGGTAAATACATAAACAAGGATGTGAAGTACCAAAAGATGCAAATGCAACAAGAAAGAATGCTCTGGGCAAATATGGGTACACAAACTGAGGTTTCTATGTACATAGCGTGATGCACTTCGCTTAGTCAAAAAGTATTAATAAAAAATATTTTATTATAC